TAATGGGTTAATTTAGGTACAATCCAAAATGACGTTTTTCGAAGTTGACGAAACTTCCTTATGTTGGAATTTTGGATAATTCATTTTTTTGCATACTGTAAACCTTTTCAAAAAATTGAGAAACCCAGATGGCAGATTTAACAAGGTGAGCAGCTCGGTGAAATAATCCAAAGTTTACAAGGTTTTATCTCTTTTAGAGATAGGAGAATTAATCGGTTTGCCTTTAGGTGAGGCATTATCTGCTACTGTATGAGAGGAGGAAATCAAGTGAAATACTAACATTGAGCTATTGACTTTAAATAAATATATATGATTAATATTACGAATAGCGATTGAAAAAAATCATTGAAGTTATCAACAGATGACTATGTAATTTTCATTCCTGTATCTTGGAACTCTCAGCTCAATATCTTCATCCTCACTTGAATCTGTTCCAAAGCAATCTTCATTGTCACCCGTTGTTTGAAAACGACACAAAAGCGGTTAAAATTCAGATTTTATACACGAAAATGTAAAAAATTTAGAACAGGTATAAAATGGCAGCCACAAAATCCAGCTTCCCAGTAATGAACTGCTCTGCTCATCGATGCCGTTTATTCCATAAACGCGTATGCGCTATCAAATTTAACGTTTAGTTCTCTCTCAGAACCAGAACTGTTAGAACCAGTTCAGAACCGGTTCGAAATCAGTACGGACTTAGTTGGAACTGAGAACTGCCAGTTACGAAATCAGTTCCATTTTCTGTTAGAACAGTAGTTCAGTTCAGAACTCTTCTATGGTTTGTTGAAACGAAGCTCAAGAATCTTCGGCGATCGTACTTACTAGACTAAAGGAGTTAGCGACCCCAGTGCGCTGAGCAGAAAGGGTTGAGAGTTAAGGTAATGTACGCCTCTGATGTTGTAGGAACCCCAACGATTTCAGCCTCGTTTATTATTAGGTTTGTCACGCGAGCGACGAGCGCCTTGTATATCGATTTTTATTCCATTAAAAGCCGCAGTTGTACCACACCTTCCAGCTTTTGTGTTAGAACCTCCACCGACTCGCTATGAATAAAGACGATGAAATATTTATTAATTAGTTCTTGAAACATTAAGTGATTCCTCAATGGATGTATCGTGTGCGAGATGGTTGGTTCATTAAGAACGGATAGATGTCTGTTGATTGTATCGTGGAAGGGTTGGTATTCAGGGTGAAGACCTATAAAGTAGTTTGTTGCTTTTGGAACATATAAAAAGACTGGTTACTCAAAAAAGTAACCAGATATATTAAGTAACCAGATATATTAAGAACATCTATTTGAAGGGTGATTCAGGATTTTGTTTTTAAATAAAAACAAAAATTTTCTCAACATAACATACTTTAATCCCCCATGTTTGTCTGGCCAATGAAATCACATTTATTCGAGATTTTTTAATGAAGTATTTAGTAAGAAAGACAAACATATCTGGTGACAAATATAGGGGATTATCGAGATGAAAACCACGGATTAAGTTTCAGATGATATCAAATATTTTGTTTATATTATATGGATCTAGCAATATGGAGTTATTCACACGTCCTAATAGGTGTTTCTACAGATGGCCATTCTTCGACTAAAATTTTCAGTAACCTCTTGGCACAACTGCTGCTCAAATTTCGTTAATAAATTTTTCTACTCGTTGAAAAATGACGATAAATGTCCCGAACTGGATCTATACCGTTACACTGAAACTACAGTCAAGCAAACTTTGTTGCGATTTTGTATACGGGATCAGCAGAAAATCATTGCGGTCCCATTTTTAACGTGTATAAAAGAGATAGAAAGATGTGTATATTAGAGTGTGAATGAAGCGTGCCTGACGCCAAAGATTCATAAATGACAAGAACTTCTCTTTGTCATGCGTCAGCAGTTAGTGTAGCCGATGTTTCCAAGATTCTGTTGTGCTAAAATTAAGAAAAATCTCGTATAGAGGCAGCATACATATACAATTTCAATTACCGCCAAATTTTTACAAGATCAAAAAAATGTTTCTTGCGTATCTTGCTTAGAGACCCTGGAATTTAATTGAAGAGTCGAATCGATAAAAGAGGTATCTAACATTTTGTTATAAATTGAATTATCTTGATTAATGTGGCCTCAAGCAATGCGAGTGGACTGTACCTACTATAGTGCCAGAATCGGCGGCATCTGGCGGCCACAGTGGTGACCAAGCTGGCAATGCGAAGTGGCATGCAACACTGACAGTTTGCTGTTTTCACTTTCGGGGTAGTCGATTCTGATAATAGATGGCACTTTATGCTGTCTTATTTCGATAAACCTTATACTCTGAATAATTGCTCAGCGTGAACGAGTAACTTAGTAGAAAACCTTAGCTTTTCATTTATCAAGAACTTGACAGACAAGTGGTCAGTCGTAAAAATGTCAAGCTAGCAGACTTATTTATTTCATAAGTATCCATCACGTTTACCGAGCTGAACAGCTGATCAGCAGGTGACATCTTTGTATTATTCTATAAACGTTGGCAAAAATGAATCGGGGAGGTAAATCTAGTAAAACTTGCTTGTAGAATTTTTTTGTATGCAAATTAAATGTTCTGATAAAAGAGTTGTTGGCAAGTTCAAAACGAATCTGTAGCGTACAAAAACAAAAGGCGGTTCTGCCTAGCTGACGTTGACGGATCCGTCATAATTATGTGTCATTTGTCGAATTTTGAAATATTACTAGATAAATCAGCTGTTTTTCTACCGTAATGGATACCCGTGAAAAAGACAACAGATATTTATTGTTGTGCGTCACCGATTGCAGCTGGGTACAAAAAACTTTCCTTAGTACCTAATACCCTTTACAATAATAAACTGTAGCACTTTCTAGTCCGTATAAGTTTCGAAGCCAAGCTGAAAGCGAATGGGTTCTCAAAAGAAATGGAAAGTAGTCTCGACGGACGGTTCGACTGTAGAATTCCGCCAATCGGATGCGTCGTACACATGGGGAGCCCGCGTCCTGATGGCCTTATCATTCCCTCAACGACGCCGTCGCTCATGCGGCGACATGCGAACAGTTCTAATTCCACGAGGTCACGCGACTCGGCTGGGGAGTCTCTTATGGGCTGGGGAAAATAACAGGCTTTGTTTCGAATGCGAACAAGGAATGGGATCGTTAAAACTGTTAAAAGGCTTCAAAGGAAATGTCAAGTGAAATCACGTTGCTAGGGAAAGGTGGTGTCGTGAGGTACGCTTGAGGTAACAAACAGGAAATCGCAAATACTTCCACTGATGTAGTCACCTTCCATGCTATGACATTACTAACCCAACCTGCAAAGTTTAACATGCTAACATAGAAAAACACATACATCGGCGAATTTACCTGAAATTTTTCGAATAAAATATTACAGTGTTGCTGCATCTTGGTACAAAAGCTACCTTGCTAGACCTGAATCGTCCAGCAGTATAAATCTGAAAGTGACAATACATAAGGCTGCACCACCGACAAGCTAAATAAAATATATACATTTCTGATACTGATGTCACCTGATGGAGGCACCAATATTGACATGCGCGTAAGATTTTTGCCAGGAGTGGCATACACGATTATGCTGTACGGAGCCCCTATTTAGAGCAAGACCTTGAGGGAAAAAATATAGACAGGAAATGCTCAGAATTACAGATTTGCGTCGACCGATGCCCTACTGGCAATGGTGCTGGGTGGTATCCCGCCAATTGATTTGCTGGCTGAGAAAAGATGCGCTCTATTAAAAGGGCGCCAAAGTTAGAGGCGCTAAAAACAGGGGCTTTTACTTAGATGTCAGAAGAGATGGTATACAATTGCTTATGTTGCATGGAGTATCTGGTTGATTCCAGACAATAAAACTTAGATGTACAAGGAAGCGGTGCGGACAGTGCACAGTTTCTCAAAGGACACGGTTGTTTTGACAGCTACAAACTGGGCAGACCTGGATTCAAGAGTTCAGACGCAATATGTTCCATTAGCTTTATTCCAATGGAACCCGCAAATCGCGTCCGTTGCGGCCTCGATCTTAATAAGCTTAACCTAATTAAAACATGTCCAGGACAATATCAGCTGTTTTAAAGTATTTCAAATACGAGTAGCTTTTAACAGAATCGGTATTCATATGGCCAAAGAAATCATATCAATTCAACGCTTATAGGATAGTACACGAAGTACAAGCCAGAAGTATGTTTCATATGATGAAAACTCGTTATCTTTATAAAGCTCAAACTTCAAACGCTCAACCGTTAGGTGTTTTCAGCTTTACGGAGTAGAGGCATGGACAATAAAAAAACAGCAAAAGAATATCAGCATTCGAAATGTGGAGTTGATGTTGCATATTGGATGGGTGCAGCGAGTTACCAATGCAGACGTTTTTCAAAGCATACATCAAAATCTAAAACTGATCATGTTAAACTGGTCTTTTGTAACACAATGAGGAATGATAAATATCACAGTCTTAGAGGCTTCGAATCTTATGACTAATACATTTGACACAGTTATAAAACATCAGTAGTATCGAGAGCTAGTGTCAATAAACGTATGTGGGCCACTGAGTATATGGTACTAGAAGAAGAATATACCGCCAATCACATCCATTGAAGCTTCTTTGAAATCAATGTAACTTAACAGAAACAGATTTTGATATATCTGCAAACGTTTTCATATAGCCACATCCCGGAATCTTGTTTGAAAGCATCCACTTTTTCTTCATTTGTAGAAAATATTGAACAATGTGTGCTCCTCTAAAGATCTTGTTTTGAACCAAGAACATGAACCTGATGTATCATCCGTAGTTCTTTGGCCTCCAGGACCTCTGGTACTTGTGCGTCGATCTCTCTATCCTTTTGTCAAAATTCACTTCGCCTGTACCCTAGGCAGGGGCCCTTACAGGGTGCTATCAGCCGGGCCAGCTGAACCCTGGTTTGTTAAAGGGGTGTTACTCCCCTATCCCTCCTCCTTTCTTATCTCTTGAATGATAAGACCCCAGGCTTGGGACTGGTATAGCGGAGTTACATAACAGAATCTTGATTGTTATAAGTGATACCCCTCCATTACTTCTTATGTCTGATCTCTTTAGGCTTACAATCCTCGGCTTCAGACTGGCATGGCCAAGTCATTTTCAAATTAATGAACCTGTAAAAGATACAAGTATGAATGATATAATTCTACCTCAACATTCAACAAACAGAATGAGTGGCAAAACTCGATCTTCAGAATTTAAACGTAAAACTTCACGCCAAAGCTGTGACGTAGTAATCTTGTGGGATAATGAAGTTTTACCACGGCCTGTAGCGCTACTTCTGCCATACAGATTACGCTTCCATCAAATGTGAGGAAAATAACTTTTTTCTCTGACAATGTCAGTTTGACATAAAATGTATAGTCACAGATACGGAACAAACATTAATTCATACTGGCTAATTAGTATCACATAGCGTTTATGCCATCTACAGAGTGTCCCAATATTCAGTGGACATAGAAGTACCACGTATTTTTAGACTCAAAATAAGTCGATTGGGCATAATTTATCTCTATGTAAAAGTGCTTCTTTTGTCCATTAGAGGGCGTCAATTTTTTCTTTCGAACTGATAGTCCGATTTGAATGAAATTAGGTACACGTGTTTTGTTAGACGTCCTAATATTTGAATTTTAGAAAAAAACCGAAACCCGAGTAGGATAAAAACTACCCCCAGCACTATATAAATTAAAATATAATTTTTTCGCAACTCTGCCTACGACTCTTTTATTTAAAAGATCCTTTTTCATTCACCTCATTTTTTGTCTCATAAAAATAGGCCATCTCGCATAGTTTTCGAGGAAAAAATGTTTTTCGGGACTGGTTTCTAGCTGTTTTCATTTTCTTCAATTCGTTTTACCTGAATTATTAGAAGAACCGTCTCTGTAGGAAGAGATATGTTTTATATGCATGATGGTGCTCCACCTCACTTTGGGCGTTCTGTAACGACACATTTGATGGTACATGGATTGGAACCTCTTCCAATTCGTCAAGACGCTCTTATTTAATGGCCACTCGTACACCTGATGTGAAGCTTTGAGATTTGTTTTATATGGGGAGCATTAAAACAAAGACATACACGATTCAGATGAGACAACGCCAACCAACTATGAGGCAGGATTCAAAATACATTAAAGAATAATGAGAAACTAGCTAACTATATTTTTTGCGGGTATTGTTATGTGGTGATCATGTTGTACAGTTTTTATGAAATATTCGCATTATTGCGATAAAATTGTAACAAGTAGTATCATACTTGTTTATTTTCTCCAACTACACAAGGATTTAATAAGATGCTTGGGAGCCTCGTGATGAAACTCATTTTTTTTTTCTCGAAAACTATCTGAGATGGCCAGTTTTTATAGGAGACAAAAAATGAAGTTAATAGATGCTAAATACAAAAATTCAGAGTTATTGGCCAAGGTGCCTTAAAATTCTGCTACTATTTATGTAGGGGTGAGGGTAGTTTATACCCTTCCTGGACCCTTTAGAGTTTTTCGTAAAAGTAAAGTAGAATGTCCAGTAAAACATGTGTTCCAGATTTCATTCAAATTGGAACATCGTAATTAAAATATTTTAAAAAATGTGTTTTAAAATCAAAACTTCAACGCCCTCTAACGGACGCTTTTGCATACAGGTAAATGATGTCCAATCGGCTTATTTTGAGTCTAAAAATACGTAGCTCTTGTATGTCCACTGAACATAGATATCCGAATATTCCGTATGCCATGAGATAATAGTAACCCATAAATTTGTATATGACTATGTCACCCTCCTAGTCCTTGAGGTTTTTCAACCTCATATAATTCCTTTATCTGGAATGACTGAACTGTAAATGGAGGTGTGCATATTTTTATCGGGGTGTTTTTATGATCACGAACAGACTAGCCGTCGCGACGGTGACGGCCCTTTGTGACTATTAAACCCTAACTGTTGTGCTGTGCACGAGTAGTTTGTACTAAACCTCGTATTCATGCTACCACCATACGTGCATGTTGATTCAGGGCGACACCAACATACATGATATGCACGCTTGGCCATTTGCCTTTGATAACCACTGCAATTATAAACTCATATATTTAAAAACTCCCAGGGTTTTCTTTCATTTAATTAAGCTTCTATCATAAAAATGTCTTGTAAAAGCTAGTTGTCACATTAAATGATTAGCTAAATCAACTTGAAATAGACAAATCCGAGTTTTTGACAGATCTTTCCAAGCTACCAAAGCAAGATATTTGACCACGTATTCCTTTAATTTTTAAAGTTTCTCAGGGCATAATTCCGATTTTTGCCGCCTGCTGTTATAAGCAAACAAAATTCGATACAATGGGATAGTTTGGAACGTTGATTTCGAATACTGTCATCAAAAAATGCCCAGTGCGACAATGCTTTATTTTGCCTAAGAAAATTGGACTTTGTTTGAATAGGGTATCAGTGCAAGTCCTATTTCGAGTAGGTAGCTATGCCTAAAAAACTTACTGAAAGAATTGTTTCTTATATGAAAATGATATATGAGTTAACTAAAATTCTGATACAAATAGGCATTGCTGCCTGAAAAATACGTTTGCAGATGCAAACAATAACACGTAACTTTTCAGTCGGTTGTAAAAAATATATTTTGTTACAGGTATTCCAAGGAAATGTGAATCCGTATCTGGAATCCAAGCAGCAACTGGATCCACCTCTATGGGCAAGCAAAATCCGTTTCTATCCATACAGCTACCACAAGCGCACCGTATGCATGAGAGTAGAAATATATGGTTGCAGATGGACTGATGGTATTGTCAGCTACAGTATGCCTCAGGGTGACAAGAGAGGAAATAACTGGGAATTCTACGATTTTGGGTATGGATACTTGAGTAACTCTCCAGAAAAATGAAATGAAATCAATCCACAAATCGCTTTCAAGTGGCTCAAGAAGCTTGACGACAAAATGTTTGACATGAACTCACTGAAGGAGTATACTGTACGTTATTCCTGGTCACACAAAGTTTTAAAGTTCGAATAAATTTGATTCCCTTGTCATTTTTTCTAAAAGTTTCAATAAAGTATGCGTTTGTTTTCGAAATCATTAAAATGACTGCGAGTTCAAAGCTCAAAAACAAAAACAGATCGAAAAAACAGACAAATAACCAATTGTAGCGAACTGACCTGAAAAATTAAGCAAAGTATGACTCCTTAATTCATAATTTGAAGTTTCAGCGTGGTATCTTGTATAGTTTTCATTTTGAGATGATTTGTACAGGGATTGTTTAAGGTATGTCGGCATTGCGGTAGTACTATACCTGATCCCAAAAGCTGTTCTACTAGAGTGATCCAATTTTAATAAAAGTATAGAAACTAAACAAAAGCACCAAGAACGCACCGGAAATCCAAGGTTTTAGAGTGCATCGACATTTTCTGAAAATGCGTCAGTCAATCTAAAATCTTTAGGTGAATTATAGGTTTTCAAATAATTTGCATTGTAAATCGAGGCCCAGTAGGTACCGGCCACAAGTATAGGGTTGTCCAATAGGGACGCAGGAAAGTAAACGTCAATTTGACATAGCGCCATCTTTGTTTTCTGTCACCGACATGTCATTTTGTTAGTTGAATGTTTACCATTGATCGCTATGGAGTCGTATTCGATTGAAGACCGCATTAAAGTTATTCAAGAACACTACAAAAATGGTGCAAAAATAAAAAACACGTTTCGCGCGCTTCGTGAACATTTCGGTCGCAACAACCGCCCAAACGAAACAACCATCGGTCGTCTGGTGCGTAAATTCGAGGCAACAGGTTCTGTGGCAAATCTGCCAGGCTCTGGCCGGCCAAGGAGTGTTCGCACACCGGAAAATATTGCTGTTGTGAAGGAGAGTGTGAGAGACGATCCGAAACAATCAACAACGCGTCGATCCCAAGAATTGGGCATTTCGAGAACCAGTTTGCTCCGCATTCTCCACAAGGATTTGAATGTACACGCCTACAAGATCCAATTGACGCAAGAGCTGCGTCGGGCCGACCATTTTTCGCGCCGAACGTTCTCAGATTGGCTCCTTGAACACCGCCAAATTGATGCCAATTTTTCATCAAAAATCATGTTCAGCGACGAAGCGCATTTCGCTTTGAATGGGACGGTAAACAAGCAAAACTGCCGCATCTGGGCGAAAGAAAATCCCCGTGAGTATCAAGAGCAGCCGATGCATCCTCAAAAAGTGACTGTGTGGTGTGCATTATGGTCAAAAGGCATCATCGGACCTTACTTTTTCGAAAATGCGGCCGGGGACGCCGTTACCGTCAATTCTGAGCGATATCACGTGATGATAGAGGACTATTTTTTGCCGCAACTTGAAGGAATGGATATGGACGATGTTTATTTCCAACAAGACGGTGCAACATGCCACACAACCAACGTCAATATCCATCGATTGCAGTCCTTCTTCGGTGATCGCGTGATTTCGCGCAGAGGAAATGTGCCATGGCCACCAAGATCGTGCGATTTGACTCCCTTGGACTTCTTTTTATGGGGATATTTGAAAAGCAAAGTCTACGTCAACAAACCAGCCACCCTCCAAGAACTCAAAAACAACATCATTGCCGAGATAAATGCCATAGAACCGACCATGTTGCAAAATGTGATTGAAAATTTCGACCATCGCGTGGACGTCTGTAAATCCAGTCGTGGTGAACATTTGAGCGATATTATTTTTCATACATAAATGGTATAAATGAACCTTCAAAATAAAGTACCCAACTTGATTTGAATATCAATCTTTCTTGTTTTAATATGCGTTTACTTTCCTGCGTCCGTTTTGGACAACCCCATACATTTTGATATGTTTGTTAGTGTCCTCCACGCGATTCCGTAATTTGACGCTGTTAATTTGATTGATCAAAATGTTCAATGATTCACCCTCTAAGAAAATGAGCAAATAATGGAACTTTATAATATCGGAGATTTGGATTATTCTGAACCACTGACAAATAAACACATCGCAAAGGTAGGCCAATTTTTAGAGTTTCGATTGAATGTAGGCAACTTCAAAGGACCTAAAACATCGCTACGTGATCAAGAACTACTGGAGTAAGGCTGTGGAAATGGAAAAAAACTACTAAAGATTAAATAATATACATTCAAGCCATAGAAAGACAATGTAGGATTAGCACAGACCTGGGTGTTCTTGTCGCGTTCCTTGGAGGACCTCCTCTCTTTCCACTGCTTACTCTTAGATCACCACACTTTTCTTAGCAATAGATCAGAGTTCTGGATCGAATCAATAGATTCAACAAATATTTTGGTAGATTTCGGAAACGAACGTTGCTTTTGCGAATCTGATACCGAGTTGACAACGGTTGCTTCGTCTTATTGTCTTCCTTTTTCTTCTACGCATGTCTAGCTTGTATGCGCAAGTACCAAAAGGTTTGCATTTGAATGGCTCTATGAATACAAACGAATTCACGAAATAGATTTTAGAACTTGCTTAAACAATGAGTTACAAGGTTTTTTGTGATGTATAGTCTGTGAAAATCCAGAGTTCATCAATTTTGGCCTAACAGACAAGGTTAAAAATCGCTTTAAAATAAAGTAATCCCATCGGGGTCTTGCAAAGCAATATTTAAACTTTAATATAGATACTTGGCTACCTCAAAAATTATAATTTTTAACCATTAAATATATCCAGTTTTAGAGCTTTCGAAAATGGTCAGTTTTAAAGAAAAGTTAGTGGAAGCCTTTTTTGTTCGGAATGATCCAAGCGACACCCGAAAAAGATTAGTCCCGGCAAAATATTTGTATATATTAAAAATAATTGCTTAAACAAATTCGATCTGGATTACCTTATTGCTGTATCAATGCTTAAATATTCGGTTAATAATTATAATTTGTGAGGTCTTCAAGTATCTAAATTAGACTTACAACCTTACTCAACAAGAAAGTATTTTGAGATTAGTTTATGTTAAAGAGATTTCGACCGTGTTTTTCAAGCCTACATTGGCGAACTGTTCGTTTTTGCAGACTATAGATGTCATATAAAAAATATCATTCCTATTTCAAGGACTACAGCATAACCTACTTGATCAATTTCGACATATGATATGTCTCTAGATTTGTCTTGACAAGCTAAGTGACCCTAGGTTTTATAAAACCAAAATGGATTTTAAACGCAAACTTCAACTTTGGAATTCCTATTTTACGGGCTATAGCCCAAACGACTTGATGGATTTTACATTCGAGGTGCACTCAGATTTGTCTTGACAGCGCAATTAATTAGTTCTTCTGTTCAGTTACTGCAGTCTGACTGTTTGTATTTTCTAAAAATGCACTTGTTTTATTATTACATAACAGTCGTATCTCATGATCTGTCTGTATGTCCCCTAATCATTGACCCATCTATAACTTGGAAAACATCGCTAGGATTTTGATATTTTCATACAGGTTACTACTATGCCAAGAATGGGTTAAAAAATTGATCGAATGGAAGCGGGGCTAGACACAAAAAACGAAAAAACAGGAAATCGCTGATACTACAACGTTCCAGAGACTCCTGATCATTTTCGGAAAAACCTTGGAGGTGTTGGCAGCTAGATAGGGTAGCGGTTGTAAATGTTTCATTTTTGGTATTAGTGAAAGATAGTATACATTATTAAGAAGTTCCTGATTCTGCTGAAACTACGCATCCGTTATATTTCACGTTTTAGATTCTAGGAATTCGGTCAACGTGAGACATTTATTAAAAATGCGATGTTTCGATGACTTCAAACGCTATCTTCCGGTATATGTGAATTTCTAGAACAGAAAATTTTGCCGGTTCTCCTCGACAAGCTTTTTTGAAGACTTCTGAATCGAATTACTAGGTTCATCCTATCATTATTCCTTCCATATCCACCCAGGGCTATAGTAACATTGCAGTTTTGTATTTCTGACCGTTGATATCAATTCAAGTTTTAAATTCTTGTACATGTGAGTTTCTAGAACAAAAAAATGTTTTTGTTCTTCTCCTAAGCAAGCTTTTTTGAAGTCTTCTGTATCGTCTTAATAGGTTCATCCTGTCATTATTTCTGTTGAGGTCCAAAAAAAAGCAAATCTTGAATTGATACCGATGGTCAGGAATACAAAACTGCAAATAATTACAAATATTTTCCATACACTAGCCAATGAAATGAAAAATGATTTATTTTCCATAATTTGGAACGTCAAACATCTAGTCAAATTTCGATTTCGTTCGAGTCTTCTGATTTGACTCATTCTTTTTTGAATCTTTGAATTTGGTGTATACACGATGATTCTATAAAACGTATCGTTCTGACAAGATTTAAAGTCATTTTTTTCATAATCCTAATTTTTCCGCATTTGATCCAGCAAGAACCTGAGATGCGTGGGAGGTGCAGAGTCAATTAACTTGCCCCAATATATTTCTCACTATTTAATCATGGATTTTTTCACGTGAAAAACTTTGATTTGAATTAAGTATTTGACTTTTTATACAGCTATGATGGACACTGGGAGGGGCATGAGTTAAAACACGGCCTCGGAGTGCTGACCGATGGAAAATATGGACAAGATGACTTCAAGACTGATATTTACGAAGTCCAGACATGGGTGGGATGGAAGAATGAAACCAGACACAATAAACCGATTGAGATTAAATTCGAATTCGACAAGGTTCGAGAGTTCTCAGCTGTGCATGTTTACTGCAATAACCAGTTCACCAAGGAAGTACAAGTGAGTTCCTACAACCCAGATTTTGAACTTGCTAAAAAATGTGATTTAAAGTGGAAGACGAGCTATCAAATGGAGTTGTAGGAGTAGAATAGATTAGATTTACCTGGAAAGTTTCGATGATAGGAACCGTATAGTTTAGGCTAAGTCGAGAAAAACCTTTGCGTCATTCTTTTTTGGTAACGCATTTTGGTTTCTTTGATGCGTTAAAAAAATAAAGCACAAACGTCGAATACGAGGAATGAACATTTCATGGTAACAGTAACAGGGTTTAGTAATTGCGAAAAATTTAAAGATTATTTCCTTAAACCCACGTTCTCACTGCTTTTCTAAGAAATTAGAGGGTGTGAATAAAATGGAAAAAACTTATGGCCAATATTTTTTTATAATTTTTCCAATTTCAGGTTTTCTCGATAGCGAAAGTTTTCTTCAGCATCGGCGGGAAGCGGTTCAAAGGCGAACCAATTACGTACGAATACATGGAAGACAGAATCTTCGAAAATGCGAGAAATGTCAGCGTCAAACTGCACCATAGAGTAGGAAAATACGTAAAGTTGCAACTGTTTTTCGCTGCAAAGTGGATAATGATCAGCGAAGTCTCGTTTGACTCGGTGGTGGCTCATGGAAATTTCACACCAGAACCGGAACCCACTACCGTGTCACCACAAGTCAAATCTCATAACGGAGAGAGGCATGACAATAAGATTGAAATTCCTGTCCCTAATGAAATAAACGAACCTGCTGTCATTGCTATCATAATCATAGGTAAGATTAAGCACAAAGTTTGAACCCCTTGTCCTAGTAATAGAAAGCACTGTTTTGGGACCTGTTTAGTTTACATTATATATGAGTCATATTGAAAAATGTTTCCCAGATGCCAAGTTCACATTGTATGCTGATGATACAACCATCACTAAGCCTAGTGCCTGTGAAACTACGTTGCTAAATATGCGTACTAATCTGTTAATCAAAATGCATGATTGGTTTTTGGTCGTTCAGCTTCATTTAAATAGAGACAAGACAAATAATCTGCGATTTCATAACAGACGTTAAAGAATCACTTTCCTGAGATTAAGTATGAAGCTATCACGCCAAGACATCCAGATATGTATTCTTCACTTAAAGTGCATATATATGAAGATAATTTCAAAAGAGCCATGGATGCTAGCTGTAAGAATATCGGGATACAAAGTTGTTTCAAGTTTTGCACGAGAAACATCAGAACAAGGGGGTAGTCTCGTATTAGCTAAGCATGACACACGCTGAAGCTATCAGTACAGTGAACGAATTGTCTAATGAAAGGCAGTGTGAAGTGCCCTGCAGTTACTTTGTTGAATACAATCTCTACGTTATTGCAATTTATAGATCCCCCACCATTATAGTTTCTGAAAACGAGGATCACTCTGTATTCTCAAAGATGTTAGAAGGTGCCTAAAGCAAGCTGTCAAATAGAAACATAATTATTGCAGGAGATTTCAATATAAGATTTGAAAGTAATGACAAACATTGCTCAGCTACCCTAGATGTACTAACTACTTATGGTTTTGAACAGATGATAAAAGAGAACACACGAAATAACCATTGTATTGATAACATTTTTATAAATTTCAACGGCTTAACAGTGATGTGTATAATACCATTCATACCAGGCAAAAAAATGGGATCCATGTTCCATATTCTAAATTTGATTTTGATATTAGTAGTAGATCGCCGAATGTTTTAGGCCCAAAAGTGTTCAACATGCTACCTGTAAGTGTCAAGTGCTGTGATAATTTGAAGTCGTTCAAAGCAGGGTTGGAGCTGTTTTTATTGAATCATTTTTTTTAAATGGTGTCTGAATTTGCTTGTAAATTGTGTGTGTATCTATTTATTCATTTCATGTACATGTGTTTGCATTTTATTTACATACATCTTATATTGCGTATTATGTATGCTTTTCTTTAACAATTCCTATACTCAATTATGTGTCAAAAGGAATGAATTTTGAATTGAACATTCGGTTATGTCTAAAAAATGGTCATTAAGCATTCTGATTTTACACTTGGTCAATCATGAATTAACCAACCGAAATATCACATACTGTACACAAACATGTAAATGAAGCATCTCCATGTTCGCTCTGAAATAATCTCATCCATCACTGGCGAGAAAATGTCCATAATAAAAAATCTAAAATTATTGATAACATAAAACGTTCTTTGTTTTTGAGTTTAAATGCAAAGCATAAGTGACGCGAGTTCTTAGGTTTATAATAAGTGATAAAATAAGTACCTAAGGCTTCTAATGATTTATTTCTTATCTTTCCAGGACTAACTCTTGTGATACTCCTGTTAGGTGCTATAATATTAGTAATCTACCGATTCCGAAACAGGAAATTATTCCGTAGCCCAAATTCCTCAAATATGGGCTTTCCGGCTAATACCCTGCCTCATATGCAACCCGAGTCAGTCTATGGTAAGTTAATTAAGAAGCCCTTAATGTGTAAAACGTGTTCTCTATACAAGCATACGAGGGATGTCTTTTAAGTCTTGCATATAGAAACATAATAGGCCGCGCGGATCGAACGTCAGTTCTGAATCTTAACCTCACTCTTTAGTAAACTTAAATTCAAAGTTTTACAACAATACATGCAGTGTTCTCACTACAGTGAATTTTTAAGTGTCACCAAGTCATTAGAAAAATGGAACTCAACCGAGAACATTTTCGCGCCATAATTTATTACAACTTTCAAAGACAATTAACGCAACAAGAATGCCTTGCTGAGTTACTGTCTGTTTTCGGCAACGAAGCGCGACATGAGTCGACAATTTCCCGTTGGTATGGAGAATTCAAACGTGGACGGGTGAGTCTTAGCGACGATTCTAGGGTGGGTGCATCAAAAACGGCAGTCACCCAGGAAAACGTCGATGCTGTGCGCAAACTCATCATTGAAGATAGTCATGTGATATATCGCGAGATTGAGGCGTCCTTGAAGATCTCAAAGACCTTAATTCAAAAAAAAATTACATGAAGAATTAGGGGTAAAAAAATTAGTTTCTACAAACGCTTGACCGTTTCAATTTCGGAAACTCAAAAAATGTGTACAGCATTGTTAGTGGTGACGAATCGTGGATTTACTGTTATGAACCAGAAAATAAACGACAGTCGGCTGTTTGGGTGTTCCAAGGTGGAGAAAAGCCAACAAAAGTCATCCGTTCTCGAAGTGTTTCGAAAAAGATGGTCGCGACCTTTGTGTCAAAAGCGGGTCATATTGCATCAATTCCTCTTATTGAGCAAAGGACTGTTACTGCGGATTGGTATACCACCATTTGTTTGCCAAAAGTCATCACCGAAAGAAGAATCATCCTCCACCAAGACAATGCAAGCTCGCACACAGTCCAAAAAACAATGCAGTATTTAACTGAAGAAAACGTGGAATTATTGGACCATCCTCCATATAGTCCCGATCTAAGTCCTAACAATTTCTTGACTTTCCAGAAAATTAAAAACAGACTGCGTGGTCAAAGGTTCCAGTCACCAGAAGAAGCAGTTGACGCATTCAAAAATGCCGTTTTGGATCTGCCAGCAAACGAGTGGAATAAGTGCTTCGAAAATTGGTTCGAGCGCATGCAGATGTGTATTAATCTTCGTGGAGAATACTTCGAAAAACAATAAAGTCATTTAAAACTACCTACCGGGTTGTATCATTTCCATATGCAAAAGTTAAAAGACATCCCCTCGTATTTACTGGCAGAATGTAAGGGCTCTATCACGAAGAAGTGAATCTATTTCATACAATTTTTCAATTCAATCATTAAAATTATTCCATTCCATATAGGTATGAGCGAAAAAGGAAGTTCTATTGAAGCCTATGGAGTGACGGAGATAGACGACTACAGAAAAAGTCATGGAACATTGAAATCAAGCCTAAAGTCTACGCTTCCTTTACCACATCCTACAAACATCGAAGGAAATGAATATCAAGAACCATATCAGGCAATGAAGTTTGCTCCATACTATAGCTATAGTTCAGTGGTGCTTGAAATGCAGGACTCTATGCCTAATCACACAAAGAAAAACACAATCAATTGTGAGTACATTATGACACATTTTTTACTAGCTGTTACCCGCGGCTTCGTATGTTTAAAGTTATTAAGATAACTAAAATTTTGAAATCACAGATTAAACCATTGTAAAAAATACCTCTCTATCTAGCCTCTAGTAGAAAAGGTAAATATATATATATATATATATATATATATATATATACAGGGTTATCCAAATTAAGTGTCCACCATTAGTAACTTTGTTATTAGTGAAAATACAAAGTTGTTTGAATTAGCAAACTAGTAGCATTTTTAACGCTGGTAAAAATAAGAAATAAAAAAAAACAATTGAGAGTCGTTATTTTGATTTTTTTCAGTAAAATAACATTTTTTTAAATGGAAACCCCTGTATATTATATTTTTTTCTGTTAAAGCATCAAATTTTAAACAAAAAAGTTCATAATGACTTTTCCGCTAAAGTCAAAAATAAAGTCAAAATAACGATAAATATTTTTAATTATTTGCAGTATTATAATATTAAGACGGCTATGAAAACAACATGGCGTTCGCGATTTGACAGCATTAAGATAAGCGACAAATTGTTAAACTGGACATACTCGCAACTAGAAGGCTTTGGAAAACAATGATAAAATCAAATAATGTCAAACATTAGTGTAAATACTTGTTTATAAGCTTTATTGTGTCATTAATTTAAAGACAAATGTTCTCCCATGAAGAAAAGTGTGATATGTTAGAATGCTATTTAGTGTGCAGAAAATCCTCCTTGAGAGCAAGAGAATACTACAGTGAATTATATCCCGCTCGCATTCAACCGTATGAACGATATTTTCTGAGACTTTAGCGAAAATTTAGGGGCAACGAAAATGTTTTTGCTAAAACAAGGGCAAAAAAAGAATTCATAATAAGCGAGGCCACGGAAATTGCAGTTATTGGATATTTTGAAGCTTATCGTGAGAATTCAATAGCAGATATTCTCAAGGACTCTAATTTCAGTTATGGTACTGTTCAAAGGATTTTAAAAAAATACAAATTTATTCCGTATAAGTACCGACCAGTTCAAACGCTTTTGGCAGGGGATCCAGAGAGAAGACTTGTTTTTTGCCATTGGTATCTTAGCTTCTGTCGCCAAAATGTAAATAACTTTCGTTACCTTTTATGGACAGATAAATCAAATTTCTCAAATTCTGGAATGTTTAGTAGAAAAAACCACCATTATTGGTCAAGAGAAAATCTTTTGTTAGTACATCCAAGAGGCCCACAAGTCCGTTTCAGTTTCAACGTTTGGTGCGGTATAATTGGTTCAAAAATTGTTGGCCCGTTCTTTTATGAGGGAACCCTAACTGGTGAAAGATATGTGGAATTTATGTCAGAAATTCTGACTAATTTCTTAGACGAATTGGTTCTTATAAGTAGACATCATCTGCATTTTCAGCAAGATGGCGCACCTGCCCACAACTCCAGAGGTACTTATCATTTTCTAAGTACTACTTTTAATGATCAGAGGATAGGAACAAATGGCCCAATACAGTGGCCTCCCAGATCACCAGATCTAAACCCACTTGATTACTTCTTGTGGGGTTACTTAAAGAACCAAATTTACAAGCGAAGGTACGATAACCTTAAAGACTGCAGTTAGCTAAAAGATAACCCAGATAGATGGTAGGACCATACTTAAGACAGTTCGAGCAGTTGAAAAACGTGCCCAAAAATGTATTGAAGAACAAGGTGGTGTTTTCGAGCATCTTCTTTAAAAAAAATTGTTATTGTATTTTGTAAGATTATAAGTTGATGTTGAAAATAAAGTTTGTCGATACAATTTAATTGTTTCAGATTGGAGGCCATAACTTCAACAATTTGTAACCTAGGAGAAAAGTTATTGTAAGCTTTTTTGTTTAAAATTTGATGCTTTAACAGAAAAAAAATATAATATACAGGGGTTTCCATTTAAAAAAATGTTATTTTACTGAAAAAAATCAAAATAACGACTCTCAATTGTTTTTTTTTATTTCTCATTTTTACCAGCGTTAAAAATGCTACTAGTTTGCTAATTCAAACAACTTTGTATTTTCACTAATAACAAAGTTACTAATGGTGGACACTTAATTTGGATAACCCTGTATATATATATATATACATATATATATATATATATATATATATATATAATTTTGAGGTATCCGTCCATAAACTACCCTCCTATAAAATTTGATAGTCATAGGCCAAGTCGTTTTCGAGATTTTACTACCTCATTGACAAATTATCTCCAGTAGAAGTCAAAGGACTTAATAACAACTTTGTAAATGCCTCTATCAGACTTCAATCTGGCCCTGCCGCAAAATTCGTTCTTAGTTGACATGTCCTGCTACCGTTCCTAATCCAGCCCTGTTGTGAGTTCCGTTTTGAGCTGACATGTTTTGTACCAGCTAATTTCGTGTTCATAGGTCGAATCGTTTTCTAGATAAATTTCTATAAACCTAACTTGATTAGTGATAAGGTTCCCCATAGAAATATTCAACCCCTCAAGAACCTCATCTCAAGAATATACTTTCTGGAATTCCTTATTATTTTTTATTTTACACAAAGCATACTTGTAAGCTTATAGTATATCAAATATACAAAACCCATATCTGCATCTCTAACTTAAAGAATAATGATTCCCCTGTAGTAACTTTCACCCCCCATTTCAACCCCTCCAAGTTTGATTGCCACAACAAAGGGTAGCATATATACGTCTTCAAGGTCTAATCTATATCCTTACTCAAATTTATCAAAATCAGTTCAGCCGTTTTGGCGTGAAAACGGAACATACTCGAACATAGGAGGTCTGTAAATTAAGTGATGAGACTGGCAACGTAGCGTTCGATCTGGCAACACTGAAGATGCCGGGCTAGGAGGGGAGACATGGGATTATGTGATACGCCTTCAGTACATGTTTGATCTCACTCGAGTCATTTGGTTATCTGTAGTGATTTTTTTTAACACTTCAACCTGTTGTGTTCTAAAAATGAGTGATATCAATTTCGAGCAGCGGGGTGCTGTCAGGTTTTGCTTCAGATTTGGGCACAGAGCTTGATATGGTGCTTTAGGCACAGTGTATCTGTTGGCTTATATGAGTTACAGTGATGTTCAGAAACATGTGCCAATCCTTTAATGTAATTGAATCTAGGTCCTAAATATACTGACGTTTTTTTAAATTATTTTAGATGCATACGAGTATGCAGTCCCAGAGGCAGGTACATTACCGCTTCTATCTTCTGCCGAGCAGAATACCTTACCGATGACAAGGAACAGATTGAGCAGTATGTCTTCTAAGGGACCAAGGGTGTCTATTAGGAGCACCCATAGTGAGGGAAGTAGAGGAGAAGGAAAAAGGGTAAGTTATCGTACAATGTTGTCCTTTGAAGGTATTTATCATATCTCAAAAAACTTCCAAAAAAATTTAGCTATAATAATGTTTTATATTTCATATTAAATCACATTGCATAATCTTCCTTCATTTTTTCAGTCTCCAACACAACAAGAGGCATTGTCTGCTCTAAGAAAGCGCTTAGAGCAAACAACCATAGTTGAGTTTCCCAGACATAGGTTAAGGATGTTATCAAAGCTGTCCGAAGGCGCTTTTGGAACAGTAAGTATTATATGGACAGCTTTTTATTTTTAACGAACGTATAGGAATCACTTAATTTAGTGGTAGCTAGACCGTTAACGAAATAAATTTTGTCTGTAGCCATTCGCTATTTTTTAATAAAATAGAAGGAAAATCTAATCGAATCTTGTTTCAGGTGTACATAGCAGAAGCTGATGGAATAAACGAATATTCCACATCACTGACATTAGGCACAAGACTTGTAGCTATTAAATTTTTAGGGGAAAATGCTTCAGAAAAAGAAAAGTAAGTAGCATAAATGCACAGGAAAATGTGATTCACACTGTAATTATTCAAAGTGTAAAATGACATTTGGATCTTCTACAAAAAAGACATTCGTACACTTTCCGATTTTGCAATTATTTTGTCCGACTGTATCTTTATACAAAAAATATCTACTTTGTATTTTACTTTATAGGAAAGATTTCTACAGAGACGTTCGGATCTTAGCAGCCTTAGATGATTCAAACATAGCGAGGGTGTTAGGTATCTGTAGCCAGGATGAGCCTCTATGTGTTGTCATGGAGTATTTAGACCACGGCGATCTTTGTCAGTTTTTAAAGGTAAGGAGAAATATATCGAAATAAAAAGTAATTATTTACATTTGAATATAGAGAGATATAGAGAGAAGTTCTAGAAAAATGAATGCAGTGAGTTTGAAAGACCCTATAAAAGATAATGAAAATTATCAGAACAATCTTGTAGAGAAGACGCCATGCACTGGTCAATGAACATTGAAAAAAAAATAACAAAATTGGTCCTGATTATATTTCTACAGGCTATAAAAATTCTCCCCAGCCACGGACCACACAGCCATTCACAACATATCTAGCAACAACAAAATCGGAACGCACATAAAACCGAAACAGACAGATTCATCATCGTGTTTCTAAATAATTCAAAAAATAAAAGAGGGCATACTTTACAGCTCCCCAAATAACGTTTCAATGCTTCCCAAATGTCGTACTTTCAAGTTTTTATATATTGCTACAATTGTCTTCATAAAATAAATTAATATAGAAAAACGTTAGTAGTGCTGAAACCTTCGGTTTATTTAGACAGTATTATTATTCCAAAAACCAGTCGATGTAGTTTCTCCATATGTTGAAGCTGAAGTAACAATTATGCCCTTGAAGTTTCGTATGATGTTTTTACTTCTCACTCTTAGGACCGTATCGTCAGTCGTTCCTACAATTGTAGGACGCCTTTATGGCCTCCTTGATTTTCATAGTTTTCTACTCTTCCGTCATCATCTGTTATATAGCCTGAAATTTCCTACAATTCAAGAAGAAAACAACCTGACAATAGGAGAGCGCTGACGCTGACACGGAACAGTAGAAATCTAGAAATATCCGAGCCTTTCTGAAGGAGAGGAAATATGATGAAAATCAGATCAAGGAGGCCATAAAGGCGTCCTACAATTGTAGGAACGACTGACGACACGGCCCTTACAGGGGAGAAGTACTGTATTCGCGAAAATTTTAGAAAATGAGATATTGGTTTTTGAATGTTATATGACATGCACATCACGAAAAACCATGTAACTCATTTCCGTCTGTGTGTCCGCTAATCCTATAACCGCCTATAACTTAAGAAGTACCGCTCGGATTTCGCTGAATCTTTTATTTGACACAATGTTACTACTATCTCGCAAATGAAGCGAGATAAAAAAATCCAGCAGACAAAAAGTTGTATTTTTAGCTGCTTAATTCGAAAAAAAAATAAAAAAATTGAAAAAAGTGGCACACAATTTTTTTGTCCAAAGGTGCGTTTAGATCTGAGCACGCTTGCGCTGATGCACCGCGAATGCTCAAGTGTAACCGGCTATGCGCGAACGCTCACCCTGTATCTTCATGTGCGCGAGCAACAGCGAACGCGATCCGCGTGTTGTCGGTCTCAAGACGTTGCTCAAAGCAATTAATGGGTTCGCGAATGCTCAGTGTGGACGGAAACGATGATTAGGAAGACTTGATTATATTTAGTCCAGTAAATGATGAAATGAAGTTGTAAAACTCTTGGAAGACTTTGAGAAATGTTATCGGTAGTGTGGGACGTTAGGCACGGAGATTATCAAAATTGAAAAAAAATGGTTCATGGAAACAACTAGTAATCAATTGTAGCATTGAAAATGTATACTGTTGCGAAGCACTGAAAAAAATTAAAAGTCTGATGGGATCATTTCGTCTCGAAAAAAAAAACAAAATGAATATTTTGACACTCTGAAAAGATACTGCAAGCTGCTGTAGTAGTATCCAGTTGTCAAAAAAACGCAAGGTTACGGCTAAACGTTTTCTTGGTGATATAGATTTTCGAAACTGTGTATCAATTTTTATTATCGTTGGTGTTACCAACGTAAGCAGGTATTCCAGCCTTGGACATTCTTGTAAAATTTCTGAATTGATCATACACACTGTTTAATACCAACTGCTTTCGTTTCCGATTTCCGTTTAGTTTAATTAAATTATACGTTATAATTAATGTTGCAGCGGCTATGGCTATTCGCCATGTTAACCTCGTACGCGAACGACTGGATCAGCCCATGCGTTGAAAAATGAATTTCAGTTTAAACACTCTCCACGCACGCGAACGAAAGCATGTGCATATGCTCAGTGCGTGCGTACTCATATGTAAACGCACCTTAACATATTGGTTATGGTGTTTTTCGGAACCCCACTTGATAATACCACTGCTATTTTTTTTTAAGTTTGACACCCTGTATCTTCAAAATGAAGCATTCCTGGGCCTATCTTTATATAAACTTTTCATCTTAAAATCACTCAAAGAATTATCTCCTGGAGTTTGTCTACGTACTTGAATAACACCCTGTATATACGATCCCAACTTTGGTATTCGCACATCATAGATTTCTCAGTACATTAGCCTTCATAAAACATGGAAAAATATTTTGTTCTATAGTTTTGGTATGGTACACGCTATGCTCTGACTGCACTGACTAATTGTATGACTCTAGGGTCTAGTTTGTGCTGAACATAATGTTTCATGATAACGGCGTTGCGTGAGAAGTACATAGTCAACCTACTTGACGCAATTCTTTTCATTGTTTATATACATTCGCTTCTGGTAAAGATCAAAATAATATGATAAGGGACAAAACGGTGGATTTCATTCAAACTTTGCCATAATAATCGTAATTAAATACCCTGAACCAAAAACTCCGGGCGTTATAAATTGTGGACAAATTCCTTACCTTACAAAGGTTCCGACTTTCAAGGAATTATTCTAAAGACCTATTTTTAATGTTATTCTCCCGCAGGTGCACGTAATGGCCGACAACGCATCCAACATACCATTCGGCGTAAAATCGCTTTCCTTTGATTGCCTGATGTACATGGGAGTACAAATAGCATCAGGCATGCAATACTTGGAATCACTGAACTTCGTGCATAGGGATCTGGCGACAAGAAACTGCCTGATCGGAAAAGGCTATCAAATCAAGATCTGTGATTTTGGGACGTACAACGAACTATACGTCAACGACTACTACAAGGTGGATGGAAACACGCCATTGCCTATTCGATGGATGGCCTGGGAAAGTGTCTATCAAGGAAGGTGAGTATTTAAAAAATATAAATCTTCGAGTACTTAACAAGTATATATTTTTTTCTAAAGATTTGAAAACACTTCATTTTGAACAATTTTTATGTCTATTTTTCATCTTCACTACTCAAAAAAATTAAGAGTGCAAGGAAACATGTTTTCAGTGATTTTTGTCAGGTTGTGCTTTGGTGAAAAATGGTCGTATCTAGACATTAAAAAAGCCTTTTGAAGCCTTAAGATTCTAGTTTTCAAATTTTTTATCCGAGAAATTTTAGAAGTAACGGTTCTTGTGCAATTCTAACAGATAGCGCAACGAACATTTTCTTAACATCAGTACTAAGGAAACAAAAAAATGCCTCAAAGATTGCAATCCAATCTTACAGTAGGTTATTTCAGAAGACAAAATATTTGGAAAAAAATTTCATTTCCTAAAATGTTTTGGCTAAAAAGCTGAAAACTAGAATCTTCAAGCTTCTAAATACCTTTTAAAAGTCTTAGATATGACCGCTTTTCACTGAAATACAGCCTGTCAAAAATCACCGAAAAATTTGTATTTTTTCTTGCTCCCTTCAATTTTTTGAGTTGTGTACATACCACACACAAGATTATGAGAAGGCTACGCCAGAGTACAATGGGTGACGAAGATGAACTAAGTCGATGAATGGCCAAACATTTGACAAATAGGAAGTGTTTAAAAAATCATTTGTTTACATTTCGGAAAATTGATTTCTTCGGGATTTCAAATATTTAAAAATAAGGTATTATCCAGATGTTTTTGTTTTAAAGGAAAATCAATACTTTATTTTATATGAACAATAAATGGCAAAGCTTACCCTCCGAAAACCAATCGTAAAGTTTCACAATAACGCTGTAACGTAAATCGTAACCAAGATAGTGGCGAATAAGCTTTTTCACGCCTTGTCCTTAAAATGTAACCCTACTTGTGCTATGGCTTCCACCAGACAATGTGTTTGATAACATTTCTTCTCTGTGGTTGACCACTGAATATACCCACATTCTACCGATATTCGAAGTGAAAACCAAATCGTATTATGGAGGATTCGAACAGATTCTCGTTCAACTTACGAAACGCAAATACGTTTTTTCCACCACACGTGCGAAAAAAAAGAAGATAACCACTCATCCATCATATTTGAAAAACAGATGTCAACAACCAACTTAGGTGTTCAAATTTAAATAAGCATCTCAAAAAGATTGTTAATTAAAACTGAGTATATGTCAATACATTATTTTTTTATATGACCCTCTTCTTAGTTGCAACATTATAAATATATTAAACTGAACCAATTGCAACTTCTTGTTTGTTATAAGGTGCTGTCAAACGTTTCTCTGAACAGTGCAAACACATGAGGTCATATGGCACCAGCGTGTGGACTGTAAGTTGGATGATCTAAACCGGTCCAGTGCATATTGTACCGTATCAATTTTTGCTGTCTAACTATTGGGTTGTGGAGTCTGTAGTGGTCAGCGCACAGAAGTGAAATGGTCGGACCGCTGCGCCTCTTGGATCGAGAGACATCACCAAACAGTCAAAATAATAAGCTAGTAGCGGTTTTATCACCTGAAGAAAATCAACAAATATAATGCTTTTAAATCCCAGAACGCCGAAGCCAAAACCTTTCCTGCCTTCCTGTAGACTACCACTTCTACTGGACTTTTCGACGCAGGTGTCTAAAAATTGATACAAGTTCCATGACACGCGATAACTGATGAATTTCCCGAACTCTGAGAGTAAACCTGATAAAATATGTTTCCTAACCGCGGTTATAGTATGTAGTACTGATAAGAAGCTTGTGGTAGTTCGACTCTTTCATTGCATACCACATTCCCTTCTCTTCTGTTATAAGCAGTGTAGACTTCTCACTTAGAAGACCTGCACATAAACCGAACAAGCTGGTTCTTAATCCGTATTTCAGCTATTAAAATTCTTTAGGTGTAAAATCGTCCATGTTTCATATTTTGGAAAGTCCTTCAAATTTCCAGAATCTTCAAAGTGTCCAGGCACTGTCATATAGCTGTTATACTCAAACCTGGTCGGTACTCAGTAATTACTCACCAAGATACTGTTTGCTTCAGGTACACAACGAAAAGTGACGTCTGGTCCTTCGCCGTCACACTGTGGGAGATCCTCACACTCTGCAGACGGCAGCCTTATGAGCAACTGACGGATCCCGAAGTAATGGAGAACCTGGCAAGACTCCATTGTGACGATGGACAGTTCAAGTGTCTGCCCAGGCTCACCTCTCACAAAGACATCCATGACATAATGCTTGAATGCTGGAGAAGACGCGACACAGACAGGCCTAGCTTCAGAGAGATCCATCTATTTCTGCAGAGAAAGAATCTTGGTTATGCACCAGCTTAGAATAATGTTTAGACTGGTTTTATGTGTAGATACAATATGTGAGATATGACCTATGAACCTAGATATTGTAGGTTCTTAAATCATTTTGCATTATTAAAGGAAAGATTTAATCGGAAAATTCATTTTGCTTGATCTCAATTAAGGTATCTAACACAATGTAACTTCATTGTGAAGACTAAAAGCTAGCCTTAATGACACCATACTTGAAATTTGAACAAGGCGGAACATTCGAAACTACAGCGATAGATGCAACAACTATTTAATTCCTACATACAACTTACATAATCTGATAGTTTTCGAGTTAAAAGTCCCAAAATCCACAAATGCATCGAAATTTCGGAGAAATATTTGAACATTTATTGAGGGATCTAGTGTTTAAATCTGTTTTCAATTGGAAACTTCAACTTGAGAGGCTACTAAAAATTAACCACTCATTGTGGAATATTTTTCCAAAGGAGTCGCAATATTTGCCTAGTTGCCTATAATATGCCTGTGCGAAATATCGCTGGTTGATGAGTTAGGAAGTGAAGTTAAATTTTCAAAACTGCATAGTCAAATGGCTGGATTAATAACAGTTAAGAATGGAATAGGTTGCTAACGAGAAAAAAACGCACTAACATAACAGTCATATGACATGTAGTATTAAAATGTAAATATCTTAAAAATTGTTCGTTCAAATGAATCGGTAAATCACATTTTATTATTGTCTCCTGAAAAATTGAAATTGTGTGAATTATGAGATTTTTGAAATGATTCAACTTGAAATTAACGTAGACTAATCCTCTTTATGTAGAAATGTTTGCTGAAAAAATGCATATTCATATCCTTCATATTAAGAGACCCGGCACTGCCAATTTGATATCACAAAATTAGCCTACGTTATAGAGAAAAAACAGCCTAATTAGTGAACGACATTTTACTAAGGCATATTTCGCACATCATTATTAACTAAAGTTCAATAAAAAATTGCTTTTAATACATTCATTACAGACTATCATGTATGAATAATTTATATGTATAAGGTAATGTAGTAAAGATGTAGCGTTCTGTTCAACATCTACTAAAATTATAGTTTAAACTAAAACTGATGAATGCAGGAAGCCTAGGAAGACTGTTGAGCTATAGAGGGAACAACTTGTAAATAGAACACAGGGTGATATTTCGTTTTATATTTCCTTTATGAATAGTATTTATTTTATAGCAACCTTTGAAAAAGGTCAGCTTTGTTGATTTTTTTTTTCAATTGAGGGTGAGATGAAAAAAACTTAAGTGTAAAGATATTTAACTTGACATCACACTCTACTAAAGATGGATAAAATATAACTGTTGAAAACAGCATATGAACATGCCACTATAATGTGTAAAACCAAACAGGGTCAAACTAAATGCTTCCTTGCAGAAACAGCTATGGAAAGCTATATATTTTTGCTCTAATGAAATTTAAAAATTAAATGAAATACGTAAAATTTCTCATATTTCTTATAGAAAATGTATTCTTACAGTAAGTTTTTTCATTTACCCCGAAGAAATGAATTTAAATGTATATGTATAACTCTAAGATTATATAGTAGACCTAAGAAAATACTGAACGACTTTTCACACTGAAATTTTTATATCTGCGGTCTACGTAAAACTAAGTTAGGAAAGAAATGCTTATGCTTTAATCATTCGTTAAGAATTTTTCACAAGGCACAATAATTCAAGACAATGTCTAGATTCTAATGTAAAATTAATAATATTTAATGTTATATACTATATATTTACTAGTCAATTTGAGATGCCTGTAAAATACAGTTCAACGATGGAAATTGTGAAGTTTTGGAGCTTAGAAAAAATGTATGAAAATCCAATTCTAAAAATGAAATATATGTAGCGGAACTATGCACGATTAAAGTAGTAGAACTTCTATCGCGTAAGTGCAATAATACGAACCTCTGATAGATTTTAAGTATTTTTAGCAGAAAAGCGAATAGCATTCATAGATTCTGCGAAAAAAAATTAGTGTTGAAAACAGACATGCCTATGATAGTGATAATAGCAATCCCACACTCAGGTTTTCTACTTTAATCCTGTATATTGCATTGCTTATAGATACATATACAGCATTAAAAATGATAGTGGGCAGATGTTTATAGAAAAATAAAGATCTGAGCTTATCAGTATGAGAAATAAGAATAAATCCGGACTATGGCTAGATCAGCAAGTAACGTGCTATTTTGTATTGAGTTTCTATCCCACTACAATCTGTTCACTGAATTAGTATTTACATAAATTTTAAAATATTCTGACAAAAATGACCAAAAATTATAAAAAATATCACGTGATTGTATCCTCTAAGCAAATTTTTTTTCTGTGATATATTTTAAAAATGATACTTTGTCGCTAATAAGACCTATATGTATACAAAAACAAATGAAACTGTTTTCTTTTATGGAATCATCTTAGAAATAAACAAAATATCTTTATGGCATTCAATACAAGAAAATCATGTTATGTCTTTGCTGACCTGCTAAGTTCAGAAAGTTAGATGTGCATTTAGTGATGTAAAAATACCAATGAATTTGATTACTGGCGTCGTTAAATTTTCTATTTGCTTACGTGTATTCATACTCTGTAATGGCAATATACTTTATTTCTTCCACAGTTATGTTTTCACGTGCCAATAAGCTGCATATACTCAAAAATAATCACGGGAATTCATCCCTTTCTTTCACAAAATGTAATTTTCCATAATTCAGTCCAGTACAATACTGTATGTAGTAATGAGTTCTAATCACCTAAACAAGAACTCTGATCATCTTCAAAGAAGACAAACTGGTAAGACAGATGTCAAAAATCGAACATTTACAAATTGTAGGCTCCTCAACAATGCCTATATTAGCAGTTAAACCAAAAATAGCACAAAGACACGTCATACTTTAAATTTTTATACTTAGCATATTCATAACAAAATAACCCAATTATTCTTCTGCTAAAAAAAAAGGCTCACTGATTGCTTAGAAAGTACCCTGAAATTTACTTCTTAATCAAATGGAACTCATATCCTACATACAGTATCTCACTTTCAGTTTTTTGTAATCAAAATCATGTAATACGTTCTTTCCTTGAGTGTTATCAACTCTATTTTTTGTACAAATATAACATGTAGGTACCACTGCATAAAATTATATTTTTACATTTCCTCAAGCATTGTTACAAATTGCGCATACTTTTTATTGACACTCTTGAACATTTATTTAGGTTCAATTTATAGATTGATGGAATGTTTGAACATTTTCAATCAACTATTAACTAGCAGAAATACTTTTGGACACCAAGTTTTCCAACAAGGTTATAAAATTAATACTCTAGTATCATAATACTGGCCACTATATTTGTTTTTCTATACAGAACAACAAGTGTCATATACAAAAGGATAATATATGTGTCCCATATAAAACAGATCCCAAATTAAAGGCAAAATTGGAATTACATAGAAAACAGTATTTTTCCTAAGAATATTTATTCAGTGAATCTTAAAGTACACTGGATAGGACACATCAGGAAAATATGCAAATGAGTAATTCATGATAAAAATAACAATTATTTAATTCAAACTTTGAGCGAATTTGGCGACAGCCTTCACTTTTCTGTTTTCCTGATTTATATGGTGAATTTAAAAATGCCATTCTAATACATAAATTGAACTTTGATGTATACTTGACCTAAAAATCTCTTGAACATTCCAGATTAAATGTATTTAAGTGGCACGAATAATTATTATCATTAGTTGTTAATAAGTATATAATTACTGCAATACCTATGTGATTCAGTTGTTGTGCATTTGAATCTGCAAATAATAATTGTCAAGTAACATATCAGTGATTATTCGAATAAACATCTATTATAAACCTTTGTAATTTTAGTTTCCTTCAAGAAACCTAGTTCCTACCCAATGTTAAGTTGTCCATAATCATAATCCTCCATATGGTTGCCTGGTCACTAAATGAAAATAGGTGATGGTTTTTTTCACATTTCGATAAAAAAAGCACCAACACCCAACAAACCACCCCTCTCTGCTCTTCAGCTTTAGAGGTGCTCCATTTCAACATTGTGCTTTGGGTGCCACAAATCCTAGGCCTCCACTGATCTTTCCCGAATCTAAATATATTATGTAGTTTGCTATACCTATTTTTAATACTTAAACTTGAATTTTGTGCATCATTTTATTAATCTGTATCGATAAGTTCAAACCACATTGCATCTAGCTGCTTATACAATAAGTCTGGTATAGGTAGGCCAAATAAGAATGATTAAATGCCACATACAACTGAAGTTTTTTTACTGAATAATAACAAAATGTGATCTATATTTTAGAAATGCCACATGAAATTCTTTTGACTATAGCAAAAAATGATGTATATTTAGAATTAGGTAAGAAGCTGTCACCACTATCATTAACAAATAGCAAGGTGTGTCTAAAAAAACACAAATTTATTAAAAAGCATCAGTTTGCACAACTCCTGTACTTGAGATTTGTCAGTATTGCTTTCGATCTGGCTCTTTTTAAATAAGCAGGAAGAATGTTATTATCAGCACATTGTACAGAATGATAATCTATGAAGAAATCCTATGGTGATTGTGTAAAATTAACAAAAATATGCTAATAAATTAATTAAAACAACATTTTCTAAAATAACATACCTAAATGATTATCAAAGACAACAAATAAAACCAGTAATGGAAATAGTGTTTCTTCTAAAACAACATAATGCAGATCAAATGAAGTAAAAATAGAATACAGCAATGTAAAAATTGCATCCATTCTGCACTGCACTGTTGTGTACATGTTCAACCTGTACAAAACCCTAAATACGTGGTTATGTTAAGCGTACCCTCACCAAACCTACTGACTAATGGTAACTTCAGTTATATGAAAAAGAATTTCATTTTTCCTGAAATATAGTAAATTAGAAAAACCTCGAAAAAGATGCAAAACCGCGGGATTCAAGAAAAGCTAGGTTACGATTACTCTATTTACGCATCATGCAAAAGTTAATTCGGTCATATTTTAAAGCCGTTGTAAGTTTAACCACATACATCCTCAAAACGACCGTCTTTCCGCAAATCAAATGTAAACGCAGCCCTGAGAAGCGACTCCAATCCAGATTAGGATTTATGGAACTCTAAAACTAAACAGCTACAAAATTATAGCTTTAACAACAGTTATCTTACCTTTGTTTAATTGTGAATGAAGCGACACCCAGAAAGTCCAATGGTAGTTGATCATACATGGAGTTTCTTGCACGTCTCTCGTGTAAAAAAAAGAAGCTCCAATATGGTCGTCTCATATTCGAAATGATTGGAAACGGAAATTCGTCACCTAGATAGAGCGCCAGAGACATCTTGCGGTACGAGATGCAAGATTGATGTAGTAACTTTTTTTATATACACAGGAGGGAATTTTTAGATAAATATGTATCCCGGTTCTGACCACCATTTTGAGTTTACAATGACATAAAAGAGCCAAATCACTTTTCGCCCAGAATGTCGAATTTTGGGGGCTCCAACGGTCCGAGTACAGATAACATAGCCACGCAAGATAACTGCTGAAATGTATTCTACTAAATCATAGAAGACTATCCCTAGCGAAATTTTTGCCGAAATCGTTACACAATACTTGAAAAAATGCAAATGAAAATTGTCGCTTTGACGTTCTAAATAACTCCCTGGGTACCACGGAATAGACATCCGTATTGACATATTACCTTGTCATTCTTGCCACCTGGATTGCAGAGTTGCCAGCTCATCGGACGATTTTGCTACCTCTGCTATTATAAAATACTTTTTGAATACTTATTCCAACAATTGGAAAAAACAATGTTTTATTATATAAATATATTTATCAACTATTTGATATAAAATTAAATGATCATTAATAGGAGAAGTACGATTTTCATTTTACTCTACTATTTATTAGTATCCATCTTATACGCAGAGATAGTAGGCATTCATTTTGAGGAAGCTAAAAATGGACAGCTTGAATCCAACTTATAACTCGTCGATCATGTCGAATTACAGGCAGACGCAATTTGAACGCATCACACCCTTACTATTGTTGGACATGTGGTGCCCACGTATCCTCCAACAACCAAGGTAAGACATTGTAGTTTACTAAACACCGGGCTGAGATTCCAGGTTTGAACACGCAAGAGAATCAACGCTTGATTTTTTGCACCATATTTAGTAAACATAGTGCCAAGGGCTTAGTGTCAAAGCACGATACTGCCCACCAATCACCAACTCCTTGGACTAAAAATAGTGTTCGAGGCTTTGCTAATAGTTTTAAGATTTTTCAGAAATGAATGTAAGTACATAGGAATACTTACAATAACGTTAGATTAGTGCACGTTTCTGTGAATTTTTTTTTATAATAATGTATTACACGGTGGCCAAGATAAGGATCAGACTAGGTTAAATTCAGTAATCACACAATCTTACGTCAAGCCTTTGTTTGCAACGCCTACTTAAATACTTGCTGCACTTGTATCCTGTTTCCCTCAGAAGAGTTGGAAGTAGACCTAATTTCCACTTTGGAGACACTTGACAACCACGTCACAACGCTAAAACACCAAAGCACCACTAAGAGACAATCGAGAACCCTATAGTGAACACCTCTATTAAAAAAAATAACTTGACCGAATAGAGCACTGCACGGAGCGGTGAACCCGTGGACATTCCGCTGCGCGACGTTTGCCTAGAGACGGAAGCGTGTGAGTGCTGTACCTCGCTGCGGCGATACAGTACGGCCGGGTAGTACAGCCACGCCCCTTTCCAGCTCCCACTCCGCGCGTCTGCGTTCTCTTATCTGACAGTATCACGAATCGACTCGATGGGGGGGGGGGGGCATGGCTGTACTCCCCGGCCGTACCGTATCGCCGCAGCGAGGTACAGCACTCACACGCTTCAGTCTCTAGGCAACCGTCGGCGCAGTGGAATATTTACGCGTTCACAGCTTCGTGCAGGGCTCTATTCCGTTTAGCTATTTTTTTTAGTAGTGGTGTTCACTATAGGGTCCTCGATTGTACCTCGGTGGTGCTTTATTGGTGTGACGTGGGTGTCAAATATCTCCAAAGTGGAAATTAGGTCTAGTTCCAAATCTTCTGAGGGAAAAAGGATATCTGTGCAGTAAACTAGGTGAACCTTGCATACTCATCACTTGTGTGTTAGGGTTGACATCCTGTTTTTTAAAGGAATGAGAGTTTTGATAACGTTGTATAGCAGACGACAACAATATTGTATTCGTTTACGTTTTTTGCCGATAGTCATATATATAAAACCGAGAACCGGAGGCATGAGGACAGAGAGGGATCTGAAAATTTTCAAACATTTTCTCCTGCAAGTCTGGATGAGATGAGAGATGACTGAATCAAGTTGTTGAAGTAACGTTGATTGCTATTGTGATTAATTACCTAGACATTAGTTCTCATACTATTAACCAAAATATACATATGTATATGATGGTAGGGATGTCAAAGATGTAAAGTTACTTACCTAATTTGCTATGTTCAGGAGCCCTCTTCCAGAAACACGCACCTCAAGATCATTTACCTAAATACATAATTCATTTAACTTTCACTCTTTACTTCTTGATTTAAAAAATGTGCTACAAAACTTAATCCTTTTCTTCCGAAGACTATGTTCCCGAGTACCGCTCTGCTGCATCGCCCTGGATTCACCTGCGAGCGGGGCTCGGGAGGGGGGGTTCAGGTCTTCATAGCGCAGTAACATTATGTGAACTTGTTGCTATGACAGTATCGAAATAGTGTGCGATTTTTTAGATTCGCTGCATTCAAACCATTTATATCGAATTATTAGAGCGTTTTAGTTTATTGAAATGACCCTCGTGTAAACCGTTACCTCAATGCTACTTTTTCTAGGTTAATAACTGTGGCATGCTGGCGATTTTCGATTCTACAAATGAAGACAGAATTGTGGAAAGACTTAATTTTTCTTCAGCTGATACAATTAATCTTAGCAGTGATGGTTGAGGTTTTCTAGGGGTTTTCCTCGCTACAAGGGCGAATTCAGTCACAAAAAAACTATATTCCCCTAATAAAGAGCAGATTAAATGAAAATCGCACTTCTATTAATGATCATATAATTTTAGATCAAATAGTTAATAAATATGTTTATATAATAAAGCATTGTTTTTTTACAATTGTTGGAAGAAGTATTCAAAAAGTATATTATCCTATAAAACTGGGCATTTATAAAAGTGTTCAGAGACATTAACGTTTCGCCGCATACACGCCAGGCGACTCAAAATGTAAAAAACAGCTTTTTTTAGTTTTTTGGCAAACATGCTACGCCTCAAATTTTATATATCTCCATTGTATCCCTCAATATTTTATCCCAAGCTTCTTTTTTTTTATAACATTCTAGCAAAATAGCAGAGGTATCAAAATTGTCCGATGAGCTGGCAACGCCGCAATCTATATGACCAGGATGACAAGATCATATGTCTATCCCAGGGTAACAACGGAGTCTTTAATACGTCAATCTTCATTTGCATGTTTCAAACGCTGTGTAACGATTTCAAATAAAAATCACTACGGATAGTGTTCTAGAGTCCAGTAGAGTATATTTCAATAATTGTCTTGCGTGGCAATGTTATCTTTACTCGGGACCGCTCCAACTTTCATCCTCAAGAAGACCGTCTTTCGACAACGTTCCGTAAATATGAACGCCTGAAGCCTGAAGAGCAACTCCTATGCAGCTATATTATGTGTCTATATAGATTGTTGGAATTCTAAAACTAAACAGTTACAGGAAATATAGCTTAAGCAATCATTATCTTACCTTTGTTTTAATAATGAATAAAACCACACTCAGCTACAGAAAAATCAAATCCAAGCGAATAACCAAAATTTCTGTGTTATGTGCCGCGGTTATAATATGGTTCAAGATGACACACGGGTTGATGACGTCAGTCACACGAATCGCTTGAACGCGTTGGTTTAAACCGCGGTTTTGTTGCAAGTTGTTTATTTTAGAAAAGCGCGTATATAATCTCTGATTATTTTTATTATCACTTAATAATCGGTGCTTTTTCGTCTACAACTGTATATGGAAAGTTTAAATAAGAAACCTTTCATAATATTCATGGGAGAAATGTTTTTTTCAGATTTTTTTTTTAATGATGGAACCATGGCTTTGTAGCTATGATAACTTTCAATTCCCTAAATTTTTCCGCATGTCAAAGAAAACATTTATTGATTCAGCAGAAATGATGAAAAAAGATATTAGCAAAACCGTATACAGGTTGATATCATCTAGTGAGTTTATATGGCCATATTTTAATATTCTTGTGGTATATGGCTACACAGGATACTTTGTTGAGCATAGGAACTACATTTAAAGTGTCCTCAACAACCGTAATGAGTATAACTAATAAGGTGCTCCAGTTTATGGTAAAACTGAAGTCAGCCTATATCATTTTTCTCAAAAATGAAGCTGAAGTACAATAACAATATCCAATACCCGGCAAAATTCTAACTTGTCACATTTCAAATAATAACCAGAAATATAAAACTACTCTTGAGTTGGGTAAATACCACAATTTTGCGGTGATAACTATGACATATAACAGCTGATTCGTGACGTCACGGATCTTATAACCAAACTGATAACTACACTCGCTTGAACGGATTGGTAAATACCAACCCAAAATGGTAAATACCATTTCCATTTGGTTATCCGCTTGAATTTGATTAAAGTTAAAGGAAAAAGTGGCACTGGTTCATTCATCTTTAGGTTTCGTGCACAAAACATATACGCTACTCCACACTTCGACATATTTTTGGCGGTAGAGGAAAAATGGCAGCTTGACAGCGGTGACGTTGAAGAAAGACAAGTGACACTATCGTAACAAGTGGCACAAACAATATTGACAGTGTTGCCGGACGTTTTTTTCACAGCGAAAAACGTTGCCTGATTTTCTGTGTTGCGCCTTGTCAGGCCTCAGTTGAGCCCACGTGGTTTCTTGTGAAAAAACCCTTCGACATCGATTTCAGTTGACTGAAAACGGAAATACGTCTCTTAGAGCGCCAGAGACATCTTGAGGGACGTGATGCAAGATTGGTGTAGTAGGTATTTTAAAAAATAGATGACGCCGGGCCGGAAGGAATATTTAGATAAATGTATCCTGGCCTGGCTCTGCTCACTATTTTGATTTTAATAAGAAATAACAGCCAAATAAATATATTTTTCGCAGAAAGTCGAATTTCGGGGGTTCCAACCTTATATACTGAGCCTGCAGTCCTGAACTTGTGCATATTTGGATAAC